AATTATTTTGAATATAGGTGGAATTGAATTAAAGATATGTGAAACTTAATTTAAAATAGGTACAATTGATTTGAAGATAAGTACAATTGGTTTGAATAAGGTACAATTTAAGCATATCAATAAAAGAATTTAAAAAAAAAAGGTATAATAAAATTTTACCTAGGTTCAATTCTTTTTTTCGTTACTAGTATTGAAAATAATTACCGTAAAGCTCTCCCTGTCTTTAACATGGAAGGAATTGTACATGCTGTTATTGGGAGTAGTAAGTTTTTCTCAAAATCTTAATAATCAAAGATTGATTCATTTTAATTGCACTTATCTTTAAATCAATGGTATCTAGCTTCAAATCTATTGTACCTTTCCACAAATGAATTAAAGATAGGTATATGGAATTAAAGATATGTACAATTGAAAAAAAGTTATGTATAATTGAATTAAAGATAGATATATACAATTGAATTAAAAATAGGTTCAAATGACTTAAAGATAGGTACAATTGATTTGAAGCTAGGTCAAAATATTTGAAGATAGGTACAATTATTTGAATATATTTGAATTTGGCATTTCACAAACATTTATTTTTGAAAAATAAAAGCAATTATACAAATTTTCTCTAGAAACTAAAAAATCATTCAGAAGAAAATTATATTGTTTCATATGCCGGCTCCATTATGAGTAACATTTAGAGAGAGAAAATCCACTGTCTGACGTCCATCAAAAGTTGTAGGAAAATAAAGATAAACATATTAAAGTAAAAAAAAAACATCAGAGAGTAACATTTAAATGTCTTTAATCCTGAGCAATAGTCCATGTGATTTCAATCCTATTAAAAAAAATAGTAAACTTGATTTTGTCTTAAAGTGTTGTACATTCCGCACTTTTCTGGTATTTCTTAAACTTATTACTCTCTCACTCATCTCGACATTTGGAGATATCGACGACGTATTATTGATTTAATTTCTATTCAGATATCAACTCAGTATATCCCAGTGAGGTTGAAATAGAAAGATACCCCAGATTCTGATACGCCTGTTTCATATTTAGATATTTTATGAAGAACAAGAGACGAAAACAGATAGCAATAGGTCACCTGACCATCATGCAACAACTTTCCAATGATTGAGTTTAGTTCATGTTTTAAACTATACACCTTTCCATTCAAAATTTTGAAAAAGGATTCATTAATCATCATAACTGTACACTCAGATTCAACGTATTTTCACTATAATAAATAGAGTCCCACCCTTACACAAGGACCAGAGGTCTTAAAAGGGTCATAAAATTCACAAGTTTGAAAGAGGCATTCTTGCTCATCATAACCATGTGCTAAGTTAGTTTATTTAATACCCATGAGCAGAGAAGAAGATTTTCAAAGAAATAATACCACCGAAACATGGCTGAAAAATCGCCGACTCGGCGTTAAACAATATTCAATCAATCAAAGAAATAATGCACTTTTACTCTATGATCTATATAGCCCCACTCTAACCCCTGACCCTGGGGCCATGAATTTCACAATTTTGTTAGAGGACTCAATGTTGATTATCATCATGCCAACAGTTTGACTGCTATAGATGTTCAGAAGTAAAAAAGAAAAGAATGCATTAATTTGGTGATTTTGTCCCCATCCATCAGGCCCCAGGGGGGCAGGGGCCATGAATTTCACAATATTTGTTCCCCTTCACCCATAGATGCTATATACCAGATTTGGTTGAAATTGCCATTCCTAATGCTAATTCTAGAGAAGAAGCTGAAAATGTTCAAAAGTTTACGACCGATTGACGACGAACGACTTCCGACGACGAACGAAAACAGATAGCAATTGGTCACCTGACTGAGTGACCTAAAAAGTGGTTTAAGAAACCTTTTTAGTCGATACAATGACCTCGTTAGCAAAAAGTAGTGAAGTAATTTTTTACACAACTGTAAGGCAATTAAATGAACGTGCATTTACCGACAAGAAATATGTATATAATACACGTCAAATAAAAATTCAAATAGCAAGTAGGTACTTAAAATTTTTCTGCTGTTGATATAATAAATATTCTGACAGGCAGCATTTCATGTACATTTTTATTTATTTAATTTTTTTACTATTTTTTCATATCGCTTTTTAAATACAGTTTACAAAGTATGATTATGATTAATATTCAGACGAACGAAGAACGATTAGAAAACAAATTGAGGTGGATAACATCGTGTTTAGTGTTAATATAAATTTTTAATACAATCCTCAAAATATTGGAAAATTATATGTTACATTACTAATATACCCTCAACACATATTTCAACGAATTTTACCAGAGCATATCCAAACAAATTTAGAATTGACTGGGTAGGGTTAGGTTAAGTTAAAGGCGAAGATTGTATTAGGGTTAGCATTAGGGTTAAGCTGTATGGTTTAGGGTTAGCATTAGGGTTAGGCTGCAAGAATTGGAATTAGCAATAGGATTAGGCTGCATGGTTTAGGGTTAGCATTAGGGTTAGGCTGTATGGTTTAGGGTTAACATTAGGGTTAGGCTGCAAGAATTGGGATTAGCATTAGGGTTAGGCTGCATGGTTTAGGGTTAGCATTAAGGTTAGGCTGCAAGAATTTGGATTAGCATTAGGGTTAGGCTGCATGGTGTAGGGTTAGCATTAGGGTAAGGCTGCAAGAAATGGAATTAGCATTAGGGTTAGGCTGCATGGTTTAGGGTTAGCATTAGGGTTAGGCTGCAAGAGTTGGGATCAGCATTAGGGTAAGGCTGCAAGAGTCGGTTTTAGCATTAGGGTTATGCTGCAAGAGTTGGGATTAGCATTAGGGTTAGGCTGCAAGAGTTGGGATAAGCATTAGGGTTAGGCTGCAAGAGTTGGGATTAGCATTAGGGTAAGGCTGCAAGAGTTGGGATTAGCATTAGGGTTAGGCTGCAAGAGTTGGGATCAGCATTAGGGTTAGGCTGCAAGAGTTTGGATCAGCATTAAGGTTAGGCTGCAAAAGTTGGGATTAGCTTACTGGTTCGGCTGCAAGGGTTAGGGTAAGAGTTTTGGTAAGGTTTAAACAAGAAATGCATGATGCTTTTGGTAAATGTAGAGGAAGACTTGGAATTGGAATCACGTGACTTAAGGAAATGAAAAATAGCCTATGAATATTCAAGGACCATCTTTAAAAGAGGTAGTACAATAAAATATACTTAAAGTATGTATCTGAATTGCTCTTCATGCTTTAATTGACTTATTAAGGGAAGCGTACAGAATGTAAAAAAAAAATCGTACTTAATTTTCCAATGTGGGTTAGGGTTAGCATAAGGGTTAGGCTGCAAGAGTTGGGATCAGCATTAGGGTTAGGCTGCAAGTGTTGGGATTAGCTTACTGGTTAGACTGCAAGGGTTAGGGTAAGAGTTTGGGTAAGGTTTAAACAAGAAATGCATGATGCTTTTGGTAAAATGGTAAAATGGTTAAATGTATAGAACTGTTCTTGATTTCGTAGTGCAAAAATTTCTTAATTTTACTTGAACTGAAATGTATAGAACTTTTCTTGATTTCGTAATGCAAAAATTTCTTAATTTTACGTGAACTGAAATAACTTGTCTTTTCATGATTTTAACATAGGTGATGCGTCTCAAATGCACAGATAACCACAAATAGGTTTAGTGTATAAAAACAAGAACTAACAATAAATACACATGTAAATAATTACCATTTTCCAACAAATTTTTAATCATGCAAATGTTTTTCATTTATACTGTGCACATCAACAAGACAAATGCCTTTTTTTTAGGTTTTGAGTCATTTTGTCAAGCACTAACAAATATTAACAAATGCTTTGCTTCGTCAAGGAGAAAAAATTCAAAAATTAGCATTAGTTCTCTTTCAGTTTAATATTTCAAAGTATAAATTCGAATTGACACTGTATACTTGCTTGTCATGTGGCAGCCAATTTCTTCAGTCATATAAATAAATAGACATGAGTCATTGTATAACTGGAGAAATCTGAAAACGGAATGACTTATAGAAATACAAAAAACTCATTGAAGATAAGTATTTGATGAACCTCTTAAGATGGTGGAAGAAAGCAATTTAGACTTGATTTGAAACAATCGCGATTATACCATTTTAAGATTGATGCAAAATATTTAAAAAGAAAAATATATACATGTACACGTGTATATATTCACACATATTTTATATACACAACATATTGTAAATACAGAAGTTTTCAATAAGCTTATATTAATGGGGTTTTATGAAGAGACATACTTTTGCAGTTGACGACTGACTTTTACAATTTAAACACAAATAAACTCCATTTACTAAAATGTAAAAGTCAGCTGTCGAATGTAAAAGTAAGTCTCTTCATAAAACTCCTATATTTGACAAATGTACTTTGCAAGTTATGCGTAAGCATTCAAGAAATTCATCAGAGTGAGAAGAGATTTAAATTAAACTTCATTAATTTTATATACAGCATCAAACTTATACTGCAGCAAAGTAAACCTCAAAATACATTTGCATGAAAAACATTGCATAAACATAGTCTGCGTTCAATGGACACTACATGTATATTCATTTATAGACATTTTATCCCATTGCATGTCTACACTGAACATCTTGTATTCTGAGATAGGTTGCTTCCTGTAAATTATGGTGCGGTTCTTCTTTAAGAGATTTTTGATAAGACAAAAGTGCCCCCTGATAGTCTTCACAAACCTCTTGACAGATCCCAAGAATCTGCCACGATACACCTCTTAATATTGTCTTAATATGACGTCCTTCGTCAGAATGAAGGAGAAGGTACAATTCATCAAGAGCCTCGTGTTGTTTTTGTGGGTTTCCACGGTAACACAACTCTAACAACATAAGTACCATAACATATGGAGGTACATCGATAAAATTTCGTGCTACCAAACTAAATTCAAATTCCAGTTCTTTTATCATGATCATACGTAAGTCAATGTCCACTTCTACAGTTTTCCCCATTCTTTCCATAAGTGGCAAGCTTCCAATCTCTCTATTATAACAATCTATATCTACAATACGATCATAAATGATATAAGGCTTTGTAATCTTCTCTTTTATCAAAGCCATAATTCATCATATTTACATGTATATCGAAGCACCTAGGTATGGTAGATTTAAGTATGTTCAAATTACGACTCCCTGGGGTAAGGCGTAGCCACAATGGCCGACCACAATTTGACATAGACATATATAGGAAAATTCCTTAAAACTGAAGGTGAGATTCCGATCCATGAAAGAAATGATACGGGACACTCAGACTGAGGTAATGTTGTAATAAATCAAAAGCAATTGACATGCTGGGCTAGCTGATAAATGTCGACATGTCCCACAGTGGGATTCGAATTTGCTACATTAGGATCAACTCCTGACTTCGCGACTCTTAGAGCAGACGCTCCAACCAATGCAAATTAGTATGAAAAACGTCAGTCAGCATTTGACTTAATGATATTATGTATTGCTGACATGGTCATTGTATCGATCGTGGAACTTACTGTAAACTACGGGGAAAAGTAACATTAAATTAATTGTTACGTCACATGGATCTAGCACATAAACTAGAGGTACTATGAGTACTCAGCTCACTAAATGATATCCCCGCATCTATTGTTGTTATTCTTTCTTTTGACAAATGTTCACTTACTGACTTTGTCATTCTTGTAGACATTGCTTTAAAATTAAACGTCTATTTGTATGTAAGTCGTATGAGGGAGTAGGAGTAGAGGAATGTTAAAACATCAAAGTGCAACTTTTTCTAGTTTTAATATGCGTATAAAAAGTAAATCCATACTTTTCACCTTTACCGACCGCTTAAGCTTTGCTAAAATTGTCAATGATTCCTGCCAACTGCCTATCTCAGTGAGCTATGCATTTTTTGTACAGCTGGTCTGCAAATTTTAAATTATAAGAGAAACTTTACATATTATTTTTACATGTACACATTTCTTTGTAATTGTTGTTTAACACATTCTGTTCTAAAATATGTAGCTTCTTTTATGCCCTGGAATGGTTCCTGTCTGAGTGACTCTTCATAGGACCGTAACGCCCCGTGTAAGTCTCCCACAACATGCTGACAGATCCCTAGTATCTGCCAGGATAGGTCTCTGGTGTAAAAAGGAACATATCTCCCGTCATCATAGAGCAACAGTGTCTGTAGGTCTGTCAGTGACTGTAAACACTGAGATCTATTACCTAGTCTATAGTGAGATAACACAGACAACATCTCTACCATAACAAATGGTGGTAAATGTTGGTCTTGCCTTCTCCTTTGTTGACTTACATTTTGTTCTAAAAATAATTCTTCAATACATGGAATATTGTGAAATAAATACACATCATCCACCCAGGCCAATCCCATTCTTTTAGACAAAGATAGATTACCTACAGTTTCATTGTACCTTTGTTTATCAAAAATATATTGATATATAATAAAGTCATCTAACAATTTTCGTTTAGTGAGATTACTGAATCGTACTGCTTTGTCATATCGTCTTGTTCTGTAGTAATACAATGCGAGATAAAGTAAATAAGGCACAGACCCTAATCTTGCTGCCATTTTCAACATGCCACAAATTTTTGTATCTAAGTTATAGATATTTTTATGGGTACAATATGAAGCACTATTTGTCATTATAAAGGCTGAACGAACAAGAGTCTGAGCAGTATAGTACTTTAATGTTAATAATTGGTGTGGTGAGTTTGAAAACCGAAATAGTGTGTTAATTGATTTTAAATAAAGATAAGATTCCCATATGGATTGAGCATGAACTCTTAAGCGATTGAATTCACGTATGCAACATATATCTAAATTTGCAATACTTATGAGTTCTCCCTCAGCAGGAGATAATTCAAAGGACGGGGTACTGAGGGCTGGTTCAAGGATTGATCTGAGAGTTGGACTCAGCAGTAAACAGGACACGCCCATTCTGTAATACTGATAAAGCTGTTGTAAAAGAGATTCACGTGAATCATCAACAATTTTGTTCATGAACATGTTGTTTTGTGGGATAAAAAAATTAGGGAAAACCCCACGATAAACACAATGAAGAAGATATTTAAAACAACTCCAAAAGCAATCCAGTAAGTTGTTTGGGCACCATCTCACTTGTCCTAATTGCATCATCCAGAACATTGTGGTTTTCATGTAATATGAACACAGTAATTCATCCTCCCCACAATTGATAACTTCCTTCAGAAATATTTTCAGGAGTCCGTAACATAGAAATTGTGCATGATTCATGGCACACACTAGTTGTTGCTCGGCTTGAGAAAATGATAACCTCCATTCCAGTTCGTTAGGAGTCACATCAACTTTACTACCAATAGGCACACAGTGACATTCATTTTTTAGGATTTTTTCTAACACAGGTACCGGCGGCCAGGTGTGTCTCTGGCATCTTTCAATCCAACTTCCTAATAGTTTAGGTCAAGGAAATGTGGCTAAACAGTAAGCTTCATCGAATTCAATAGGTCCATAGAAACTACTACTACAAGGACCATGAATTCTGACATTTTCAGGGTTAAAACCTGTCTTAATCTTTAACTGAAAAAATTGTTCTCTCCACAGCAGACTCGATAAATAAGCCCAACCATTAAAAAAAACAAAACATGATGCCGTGCCTATGTATTGCACTGGTGTTAGGAGGCGCAGTTTGACAAATCCTGGCGGTGTATCAGAATCTTCCATTAGCACAATAGTATGCTTTGATGTATTATAAAGCTGAGCCTGGGAGATGTCAGTAATTAATTTATAATTACAAAGCCAGAACATTGAATCCATGTCAGATGATGTCAACCTAAATCCCTCTCTATAACTACCACTATCCATTACAGTATATCCTCTATGATTATTAACAGGTTTCTGTATCATCTCTTTTATGTCGATCACGTCCCTTCTGATGGCCACTTCTGTCGGTGTCCCTATCTTCCCACACAGACCAACATACAGGACACCTGATAGACGGGTGATATGATCCATCCTCTGAATAGGTTATGTTTATATAATCATTATATAAAGGAAAGTCAGAATTTTATATCATTTTTGAGGAATTTAACATTTCTGATAGATATTAAAATGAACATAATTATACATACATGTATATGTAACACTATAAGCTCTTCAAATGGCGGGCTGTGCTTTATCTGTTAAAGGGAAATACCGATATCCAGAAAATCTTGTTTCGTTTTCTGTTTAAGCATTTGAATAGTTATTTATGGAACGCCGTGTGAAGAACTTTTATTATATAATGGTATTTTGTCATTATATGATGGTATTTTGTTATTATATGATGATATTTTGTCATTATATGCTGGTACATGTACTTTGTCATTATATGATGGTATTTTGTCATTATATTATGGTATTTTGTCATTATATGCTACTACTTTACATTAAATGATGGTATTTTGTCATTATATTATGGTATTTTGTCATTATATGCTACTACTTCTCATTAAAACATTGCTGTGTTGTCATTCCTTTGTTCTTGCACTCTTAAAATGTACGTACATGTATGGCAGTCCGATATTAGTGAGCAGTCTGATATTAATCGTAATATCAGAGTGTCTCAGCACTGATATCCTTCAAATTGGACTGCTACTGAACAAAAGAAATAAAAGGTGTGCTAATTTAACAAAAATCAATTTAAATTTCTAACATGATGATTTAGAAAGTTTAAAACATTGCAAAAAAAAATCAAACTTTCATTTACATTGAATAAAGTATGATAGGAAGAAGCACATGCGGAAGACCAGATAATGCAAAGTAAAAACAAACATAAAAAAAATACAAAAAAACGGTAAACTTCTAATAAACGTATTAAAATTGTAAAAGTGTTTCAACCCCTTTTCTCTTGTTTTTGAAAAAGACTGGACACACTGGGGGTCCGCAGAGAAGGAAATAAACTTTCAAAGCCCAAACAATAAATTCATAATAAAACACAAATTTCATTTTTCTTATCAAAAGGAAAATGCATATAGATGCAAAATCAAAGTAACTAGGCCTAGTATATGATAATTAATACTCAATTTGAAAGATTCGCAACGGTTCCCTCAAAACTCCTGGATTATTGATTATATTTGTTTTTTCTGTATTATGAAACATCAAAAAGATAGGTATATGTTGACGCTTATCATAGAAAATAAAATGGACAAGTGTACCTTTAGAATCTGCATAATATTCTGTAAATATTCTTCATATCGTTAATTTCCCTTCGTTTTAAATTCATCATTCACTAGATTGTATAATAATTCGTTGCACTGATTTAATCTCCGTGTGTGTTTAAATGAAGAAAAATTTTGTCCCGAATCTCCTTTTCAAATTCTTTCAAATACTTTCTTCAGTGTAGCCAAATCACAATATACTGAGTACTTTTCACTTAAGCCTGTTGCTTCAATGGTCATTAACACCTTATCTTTTGTTCTAATTTCGGACTGTCTCAGGTAACTCAAAAGCAATGTTTTAAGTACGATATACGCCTCATACAATTCTGTATTAAAAATAACTGTCTGATATCTTTTAGTACAGAACTGTATTCGGCATAAATCCAATACTTATATGCTACTACTTTGTAATTATATGCTACTACTTTTCATTGTTTTCATCATTCATTAAGAATACAATCTGATGGACAGTAGTGATATCATGTGGTTCTGTGTGCCATGCCGAGAAAAAGTGGAGAAAAATATCATTGTGGACAGAGAAATTGAGGAGAGATGTAAAGACATGATGAAGATGTTCGACAGCAGAATGAAGTATCTGGAGGACGAGCTGGAGAATAAATGCAGTGAAAATCAAGTGAGGGAGATAGTTTCTGAGGCAATACAGAAATCAACAGAATCAAATCAAGCTGATACAGAGGACGAGGCTGCTAGAGAATCTGGAAAACACACCGTGCCAGTATCAGCAGTACTGAGTGAATTAATGAGAGGAAAAACAGAGAATGTAACATGATCATCTATGGGATAGAGGAAAGTGACTCAGACAATAAGGAAGTACGTCGTTCCTATGACACAGATCAGGTGAAAGAAATTGCTGATGTTTGTGAAGTGAACATCCCAGATGAAAGCATAATAAAGTTATTGAGACTTGGTAAATTTAATAAGGATAAGAAACGCCGTCCATTGTTCGTTACTTTCTCATCCCCAGAAAAAAAAGTGGAGTTCTTTAAACGAGGTGGAAAGTTGCGGGAAAAGATTGAATTCAGTGAAGTACTACTCGCAAATGATTTGACACGGACAGAGAGGGAAAATGAAAAGAAACTGTATATGAAAGCCAAGGAAGTGAATAAAAATGGTTCGGGGGAATTCAATAACAGTGTGCACGGTCCACCTTGGGCAAGGAAAGTGGTAAAGCTCAGGGTAAGCGATCCAGACTAGAAGATACAAAGAGGAATGTAAATAATGTATATAGTTTTAAAGTGATAAACAAACTTTCGTTCTTTTACACCAATGCAGACCAATTTAGAAATAAGTTCAATGAGTTCCAGGTCAGGATAAAACAAAGCCATTGATAATAGGAATAACAGATGAAGGCAAAAAATGCAACATGTGCACCTAATCCAGCTGAATATACGATGGATTGGACGAAGGAATACAGGATGTTTCATGTAAATATTGAAAGCAGCATAGGTAGAGCACTACTTTTATATGTACATGATTCTCTTTTTGCAGAGAAGGCAAAACTTTCAGCGTCCTTTGAGGAGCAGCTTTTTGTGAAAATAAAGATTAACAGCACAAACTATTTCCTAGTTGGCCTTATTTATCGGTTAACGTCAGACAATACCGAAAAAAAACATGAATGTTTAAGAAACCTAGCTAATAACTGAAGCCTCAAGAATGAAGTGCAAACACTATCTCATTATGGGAGATTTCAACTATCCTAATATAGACTGGGATTTACTGTGTACAAAAAGTGATAACTCTGCTGAGCAGAAATTCATAGATTGTCTGCAGGACAACTTCATGTTCCAAACCGTCACAAAACCAACAAGGTGGAGAGGAACGAACATTTCAACCATTTTGGATCTTGTGAGCACAAAGGATGAAAATTCTGTGGAGGAAATGGAATACCAAAGCGGATTAGGAAAGAGCGACCACTTATCTGCTTTAACTATGTTTGCAGTGCAATACTGGAAAGTATATTAACTCAAAAAGTAAAACGAGACAAGGAATCGGGGAACTGTGTGTCGACCCTAAAAATCCAAAGTCCAATAAAACAGAAGTGGATGAAGAGAAAGCAAATATTTTAGCAGCCTTTTTAGTAGCGTTTTTACACAAGAACCTGAGGAAGCCATACCTGAAGTGGACAAACGCCCTATCAAGAAGGAATGGACATAATTAAGAATATTGGAGGAAGGAATTATCAAAGCACTGAACCTGTTAAAGCCAGATAAGTCAGCAGGATTAGACAACATGCATCCAAGGCTATGGAGGGAATTAAGAGTGGAATTAGCAGAACCCCTTGCAAGAATCTTTAGGAAGTCAGTAGATGAGAGAAAAGTTCAAGAAGAATGGAAAACAGCACGTATTAGCGCGATCATTAAAAAAGGAAACAAGGCGATAGCAGGAAACTACAGACCAGTGAGCTTAACGTCAGTGGTGTGTAAAGTCATGGAGAGACTAGTTAGGGACCACATAATAGATCACTTTGTAAGCAACAGCCTCTTTACAACTAAACAATATGGCTTTATCAGTGGTAGATCAACTTCACTACAACTGTTAAGGGTATTAGAGGAATGGACAGAGTCTTTGGACAGAGGACATGATGTTGACTGTATCTACATGTACTATCAAAAGGCCTTTGATACTGTCCCACATAACAGACTGCTTAAGAAACTGGAAGCATATGGAATAGGAAAAGAACTTATAGAATGGATAAGGAACTACCTAAGTGGAAGGAAACAACAAGTATCCATAAACGGGGCAACATCTAAATGGCATATCGTAAGTTCCAGCATTCCACAGGGGTCAGTAATTAGGCCGATAATGTTCGTCATATTTATCAACGATTTCCCTGATATCGTGAGCTCTACTGTGTACCTATTTGCCGACGACACGAAAATCTTCAACATAGTTAAGAGTAGGGAAGATAAAATGACACTTCAAAGAGATCTTGAGAAACTAACGGAAAAATGTAAACACATGCACATTGGAAAGAAAGACCGAGACCAAGACTTTGAGTATGAGCTGTTAGGACGCACTCTGGAGAAGGTACAAGAGGAAAAAGACATAGGAGTCATCATAGATGAACAACTCAGCTTTGACAGACACATAAGCGAGAAGGTGAAAAAGGCAAACTCTATTTTTGCAATGTTAAGGCGAACTTTTCAACATTTAGACGAAGAAACTTTCATTCCTCTTTATAAGACATTTGTCAGGACACATTTAGACTATGCCAGTTTGGTCTGGTTCCCTTTCAAATCATGACACATAGAGTTGATTGAAGGAGTGCAGAGAAGAGCTACCAAGCAGATTCCATGGAATAGCTTACCAGAGGATGTTGTAAGTGCTAAAACTCTGAATACCTTCAAGAATAGACTAGACAACTTCTGGAATGACCAGGATGTGCTCTATAATTACAAAGTAGACTTTAAAACCGATTACACCCGTAGTCACCCAAGTAGTCACAAAGCAAGTTTGGAGTCCGACGAAGAGGACCTTGACAGGACCTGTGTTGGAAAAATACCAGAAGTAACCATAAGTAAATAAGCATTATATGCTACTATTTTGTCATTATATGCTATTACTTTGTCATTATATGCTACTACTTTTTCATCATATGCTGGAAATTTGTCATTATATGATGATACTTCAACATTAGGCCCCCTATATGAAGATAAATTTTAAACAGGTATAACATCAGGATCGGGATACCGTTAAGTAGTATGAAGTTTAAGTGAAATAATGGTGCAAAAAATATAATACCGCCTTTTCTTTTGAAAAGTTGTCCTGTGAAAAATGTGTTTCCAAACCTTTCTGAAA